TTCATACAAAACTTGTTTTTTTTTCTTTAGAAAGAACAATTCTATTGTTAAACATTACCATTTGACGAATACGTTAAATTTATAAGTATATAACACATAATTTTTTTATTGAGACCCATTTCTGTTCTGGGAGAAATTGATAATCTGTTTTATCTATCCTAAATGCAATCATCAATATGATTAGAATGTAAGTAACAGTTCAAAACTTTGGCATTATTTTCTGAATGCTTGCAATTTGTTTAACAAAAGAATTTAGAAAACAAACTTATTATTTTATTTGCATCATGTAGGTTAAACCGATTCGATTATGAATAATTATGCTAAATATGCTAATTACGAGAATAACAGAACTTTCTTTTCAAGTTTCTAAATGCTGCGCTACAAAGTCATTGAAAAACCGATTTGCTTCTGAAGTGTTAGCTCTCAAAGTCGGCACAGTTAAATCGATATGCCATTATAGCGTCCTCTGGTGCGGCTTATTGTAGGTATCCATAAGTATTGACATATCCCATAGATAAACATTCAAGCAAGGCAAAAAACTTCCGCACAACTCGCCAAGCTCTGTTTAACCTTCCAAGGTACCCAAGTTGACAACAACACAAGTCACTGAATTAGCAGTGTTGTTGTTGTTGTCGTTGCTGTTGTCGCTGCTGTTGCTGTTATTATTGTGATTGCTGTTATTGTTATTGTTGTCGTTCCATCATTGGCATGAATGATTGATTTTATGTATGTAGCGGCCTGGCATAAAGTCACTCAATAAAATTACGAAAAAATTCGCTGTCGCATAGAACAAAGCCCAAAGGCAGATGCATCTACCTCATCTCTACCTTACTGACCAAGTGGCCATCGTCAGTTCAAGTGCCTGACGACGACGACGACACATCATTGAAAAAACAACAATAAGACAAATACAAAACAAAATAAAAAACAACGTATTTCTTCATGCAACAGCGGCGGAAGTACCTACATAAATAATAGGGTGTTTCATTAAGTACTTAGTCACCTTAAACCTATAAAAAAGATGTATGTATTTACAACATTGATGATTTGCTGATTTTTGTTCGCGTCTAACTGTTGTTAATAAGGTTAATAACAAGAGTAAAAACTTGAGTGTGACTTTGCGCAAAAAAAGAAATGATTAGCTTGCAGTATTGAATATTGATTGTGTCTTCTTTGATAATTCACTTCTATTTGCATTTGTTTGCCACGAAAAAAATATTTGATTTATACACTCCCAAGCTTGTAGTGAAAATTTTAATTCTTTTAGTGTTTTAATCAAAATATTTTATATGTTTTGTTCCAGGTTAACATTTCTTTTTATAAGGAAACCAGGTACTTGCTGAACCTCCCTATGGGTATCTATTTTTGTGACCAAGCCTGACAACGCGTCGTTTATTCAGTTGCTCCCTGCTGCTGCTGCTGCTGTCGTCGTCTTCGTCATCATCGTTGTCGTGTTGGCCCAGGTTGTTAGTGTTGTAGTTGTTACAACAATGCGCCTTCAATTAAAGCAAACAACCTTGAACTCTTTTTCAAGCGGCTTATGCGCGTTCAATCAACGGCAACCACGACTGCTCATATCGGCTATATCGCGAGTCAGCAGCTTGCCGATCCTTGGCCATGTTGGCGACGCGTCGCCAACAACATTAACAACAGCAACAACCAGACTGGTGAGCTCTGCCAAGCTGAAACCGAAGCTGAAGCTGTCAATCTGCGTTCCTCGCCTTTTGCCTTTGCCGTTGCCGTTGCTGTTGCCTTTGCTTTTGCTTTTGCCTCGGCAATCATTGAGCGCGGCCTCTGCTCCGAGTACGGGTCCGGCTTTGGCTCATTCCTTGGCGTCAACGCCGTTAGCTGTCGTTTAGTTTATTGTTGCAAATTGCTCAGTGAATTATGTGCCGAACTGCTTACTGGGAACGACCACACACACACATACATAAATATATACATATATATATAGATATTTAAACATATATTTGTGTATGTATTATGGGACAGGGTTTGACAGGAAATTTGATATTGTGGGTTTTATTAGAAACCATTTGACTGTGGGCTCTGCCTTACCTACGCGAACGGTTAATTCTGTATGCTTAAAGCAACTTTTACATTTCAATTTAATTACTAAAGTTCTTCTGAAGAATGAGCACGTAAAATGCTTCAAACTACACTGATAATTTATCGAATTGATATAGCAGACTTAATTAGCATAAAAAATATAATTTGACTCGGTATGTCATATTATTCTTAATGGAATCAAGTGTCAATATGGTAAAGAATTGATTATACTTTGATTTTTCAATATGAGCTACAGAAATGTGACTCTTTAGGTTTGTTGCCTAAGTCTTTTATTATCCAAGAGGCAAACAGCAAACTTTTGCTTTATGTAAATTTATTTGTTTTTTATTTGCTTTAGCAGCCCACGTACAGCTCCAGTTTTTTTCTTTACTTTTCATGTTCAATTTTTTGCCCTTAATCAAGCAAAAAACCCTTTTGCCTGTACCTCACTCGCACTTCACTCAACTTGGCTTGACTTGGCTCAAATCACAACTACAACCCACACACATGCCATAGTCCGGAGCTGGGGGACGGGACCGATAATGTCAGCTCAGCTCGGATCAGCTCTCGTTGCTCCGTTCGCTTGTTAAGCCCTGTGCCAACTTTGATTTTAAGCTCTGTGTCTCCAGACATTTGTCTTTGGGTCTCTTTTTTTGTCATACTCGTTGTTGTTGTTGTTGTTGTTACCCTCAAATGCACTTTCAATTGCAGACAGTTTGACGTATATATGTAGCTAGCAAAAGTACTATATCTTTCATTAATCTATCTATATATACGTACCTACCTATATTTTGTTGTCTGTCTGTCTGTCTGTCTGTCGGTCTGTCTATCTGTCTGTCTGCTGTGGCTGTCTCGCTTTCTTTATGCACCGATAGCACCGCGACCAAGACGCAGAGTGAGGCTGCCCACAGGCACTTGGCGTGAGTTTTAGCTGTGGGCTGTGCGGCTCCAGCAGCACCAGCACCAGCTTTGCCTCTAGCTCCAACTCAGGCTATACCTTGGTATCGCTTGTATTTGCTTTCATGCGTGGCAAGAGCTGCAAATACACTTACATATACTCACACAGTCGTCGTCGTCAAGTAGCTGCCATGTAAAATGCTTCCTACTTACGCCCAGCGGTTCATTGTTATAATTTTGTAAATTATTGCAACATTTATACCCTTACCAAAAGGAATTGTTGCATAAGTTGCTTGCAAGATTTTAGATGATACAAATAGCATGCCAAATAATGAATTTCACTAAGACTCGGATCTGTACATATTTTATGGTGGTTAAAATTGGTTTTTCCTAATATATGCATTTGATAATCTAAAATTGGTCGAAGAAAATAAATCAAAAGGTAAGTGGAGTAGTCAATAAATATTTAAGCTACATTCGTAGAAAGAGCATTTAAGCTTCGACTTTGATTTCAATGCTAAGTTTCAATTGTCTTTAAATAATTTTTGAATGTTTGATGTAATCATACATTTTATGTATTTTCATTAATTAAATTACGTAAAAGTGTAAAGAGTGTGTTACATGTTTCGGACACGCACATCTGAATTACTTGCCCCTGTCTATCTACCCCTTTCGCATAACTCACCCAACTATTTTTGCTTTCATTAGAAAGCCAGCATAAAAGGCTTTGGTGCTGGCTGTTGTTGTTTAGAAAAGTTAAACAAAAAAATATTGTCAAATATTTTTGTTCGGCTGGACCATAAATCGCAATATCTCTGTTATGTTGGTCTCCTTTGATGTTATTTGGTGGCTCTTGCAACGTTTCACTTGATCTTTGACAATGTGCTAATCATTTGCCAGCCATTGCCGGGGTTGTGACCAAGCTCTATAAATTGACGATGACAATGACATTTAACACCTCTTTATGACCAGATGTGAAATCTGGCTAATAAAAATATGGTGTCGTTGATGGCTTCATTTGCACAATAACAGTAACAAGAACAACAAGAGCATCAGTCACGGGGAAGTTATCAAAAATTATTAAGAAAGCCGTCAGAGCTACTAAATCAAAAGACTCAAGCAACGAACCTTCGCGACGTTCTCACCAACGAAAATGAAAGCAGCCAGGCGCGCAAGCAGAGCCAAGCAGACAAATGAACATAGAGATAGTTAGTCAGATAGCCAGACAGAAAGACAGATAGACTGGCAGATAGACAGATGGATAGCTGCTCCATGCATGCATTTTTACACTTGGCTTACACGACGGCCTCAAGAAAATTAATATACCAAACAATTACGAGACATAGTAAAACAATTTTAAGCCCAGTTAATGTCGCTGTACAGTGAGGCCAAAATTTAAGCAAATGACTTGTATTTTGTATAAAATTATGATTAATGGAGAATACTTTTAAAGGAAAGTTTTGTGCGATATTTTAAAGGAAATTAAATATGCTATGTTTTAGTTGATCAATTAAATGCGTTCGTTGCTTAAGTCATTTGATATTTTTTCAAATAACTTTTTGGAGTTTAGTAGGAGCATTTGCATATTCCAAAATACACTTTCTTAGCTTAACTCTGAAAAGGACTTAGCTTTATTCCTTTTTTTTAAAGCCTAATTTGTTTGACGCAAATCGTTTGTTTTGTACCACTGTGCAGTGCTGTTGGCTACCGTTTGTATTTTAGCTATGAAAGTTAAGACTTTTGCTTTTCTTCGGCTGTTGTTTTTAAAAAAAGCGAACGTACAGATAAACAGCAGTTCAAGAGTTCGCCCCGAGCTGTGCCGCGCTCCATCCCACCCCACCCCATCGGCCCTCCTCTTATTCGACATGTGAGGCAAGAAAAGAAAGTTATTACAAAATGAACAGAAACTGACAGCTGACAAGGGACACCCTGCAGTTAAGGCCGGGCTGAACCGACAAATGTGATTCGTTGCAGACAATTGTGACAAAATAATGAAATGAACGAATTTAGGCAGCTATTATTATTTTTGTTTCAAAATCAAAAACAAAACTCACCTCCGCCATTATTGGCACTGGAGCAGTGTTTGGAGCTGAGTCCCTGGCCCGTATTCGTTGCGGAATTGGGCAAGCCACACCCGCTCATCACGCCATACTTGATGGGCTTGAAGTGGAAGAACGAAGGCGAATAGCCCGATCCAGCGCGACTCAGCGAACTAAACTGCTCCTCGCGATCCTCCACATAAAGTCCTTCCTTGCCCATTGCCGCCAGCTGCCTGCCCTTGGGCATAAACATGACCAGGAAAACGGTGGCCGACGTCGCCACCAAACCAAACGCAATGCACGCATCCTTGTGCCGCTCAGCGACTGCTAGGCCGCATAGCATCCAGCCCAGCCAGATGGGTATTGCACCACCAATGGCCAGGCCAATGTAGGTCGCCTCCCGATAATTGTCGCGTATGCCACGCGATTTGATCGCAAGCACCGCAATGAACACAATGAGGAACACAATGTAGATCAGCGAGAATAACAGCTCCGAGAACTGTGTCTTGCACAACGGTATCAGCACGGTGCTCACTGCCGCAATTCTCGTGTAAATCTCCGGCGTACCATCCAGCGTTGTATACGATGTCGGATAGAAGAGCGCCGAATAGTTTGTCTGCGATGCGACTGTGGTTGATAGGAAACCACTGCCCATCACCGGCACACTTGTCGTATATATCTCTGGTGGCTGTGTCAGCAGCCACTGTGCCCCAATCGCCACCTGAATGAGCAGCGCGAAGAGCAACAGCAATCCCTGATAAGGTGCTGGCAAATAGACGCCACCATTCAAACTAATAAGGAACACACACTTAACGAGCAGTGCGGCAAATACCAGAGCATATGCCACGCCCACACCAAAGCGTATGGCGCCACAGCTGAGCAGCGTAGGCTGTGCCGTGATCACTGCACCCAATCCGGCGCAGGAGAACAGTCCGAGCAGCAGCATCTGACCCAGAAAGAGATGGCGGCGCGATGGCGATGTGCGCCAGGCCTTGAACAACACAAAGATCTCGAAGGCGCCCATCATCAGCATGGTGAGGCTGGCCAGCACCAGGACTGGCACCACCCAAACCTCCTTTCGCAGGCCGGCGAACGGAAGCTGTGTGGTGGACACAATGCTCGGTGGTGTCGCATTGCCACCCTGCGTGGCACGTGGTGTATTCGCGGCTCGTGCTCGAGCGCCCTGACTACGAGTGGGTGAAGTGCCGGAGGTTGTATTGTTATTGCTGCCTCTGCTACGGGGGCTGCTGCTGGTGGTGGTGGTACTCGCCATTAGCGTGGGCACCACAAAGAACTCGGTAGACATTTCCAATCTAGCCGCACTCGAAATATTACTCTCCAGCACATTGAGATCCTCGCGACGCTGCAACATCTGTTTCCCACTGCGACGTGGTGCTGGTGTCGTTGTGGTGCTGGTGGTGCTAGTAGTGCTGGTGGTAGTGCTGGTGCTGGTGCTGTTATTTGTTTTGAGCAACTGATAGGCATTGCGTTCGCGCTCCTGTGCAGAACTGGCGCTAACGCTGGTTACCAATCGAACGCGACGCCAAATATTATTATTATTATTATTGTTATTGTTATTATTATTGTTGTTTGCGTTGGGATAGCGTGCCGCTGGCGTTAGAGCGATAATCTGCAAGATGAAGAGCAGCAGCAGCAGCAGCCTGCTGGCCTCGATCCTGCAACAAGCCGGTGGTGACCAATTGGCCATTTGGATCGAAGACGCGTTTTTGCCGTTAACTCAAATGCTGCACATGCTCGCACACACGCACACTTGCACAGTCGCACACACACACACACGCACACACACTTGCACAGTCGCGATTTGGCTCGTTGCGCTTTTACGCTTCACGTTCGTCTTTTGCTTAGTTCGAGGTTCGTTTTTAACGCGCTCAGACGTCCGCTCGCCAGTCCCATTCAACATCGACTGCTGGCTGCCGCCGCCTTGGCACGCTCTGCAAGTTAGGCTTTGGTTTGGTTTCGATTCGTCTGCGAGACGTTTGAGCCAAGTTTGAAGCCACTTGCAACTCATACTCATACAAATGCCTTTGGTTCGGCTTGCTTCAACTTCAACACCAATGCTGCTCGCCTCGGTTCGGTTCGCCTTTGCTAAGATCTGCTTCGACTGTCTGAGAGCGAATTGGAGCTTGTTATAGAGAACACTTTCATTCGTTCTGCACATGTGAATAGTTTTTTTTTGTTTTTGTTTCCTTGTTTTTCTTTTTTTTTTTTGTTTTTTGTTTGGCTGGAAAGTGCTATTAGCCGCAGACAGAGATACATTTACTATGCTTACCACTCGCCAAAATGGGCGCAACAAAAGACAAAATAACAAACAAAGGCGATTGTAAATCAAATGCCGGCTAATGATATATCGATATAGTGCGCTCAGCGGCGTCCCGAACAGCGGTAAATGGTAAATATTCTGATCTTCAAGTTTATTTCTTTATTTGTTTTTATTGTTTCGGAGCACCGTTAGAGTTAACCGAAGCTTACACTTGCAAATCCATTATCAACTGCCTCAGTATGCGAGATTGTTAGCTACAAATTACAAAAAGAGAAAAATCACAATAGAAATTTCCTTTACTAATCCAGAATAGAACTTTTACGAACGATGATGTACAGGTTTTATACTGTCTTCATATGTGCAAATATATAATTTTAAATGTACACTGGTATACTTTTTTAACAGATATTAAAATGTATTTAAATACCATAACTGTAAGAAATTGTAAAATAATGTATTTATGTATTTTCATTACTTAAAAACGACATATTCAAAGCTCTGATGGATATCATTATTCAATATATATTCTTAATACAAATCCCTCTTCAAATCGATGTCCAACTCCATACACATTTCACCAACTGGATTTGGCACAGCACACATCGAGCCATTGGTCATAGCAAATGATATGTAGATCGTGTCGAGTCGGCTCTGTTAGCGGTTGCTGGTAGGTGGTTGGTTGTTGAGGTGGGGTGGGCAAGGAGAGTAAGAGACTGCCCCGCATACGGTATCGTTAGTGGAGATCTGTCTAAAACTGAACTGCGTCCGGCTGTCGGACAGTTCCACTTATTCTCCATTATTGACGCAAAGGCGGGTAAATAACCTTTCGGCATGCCCGAATACACTCCAGTCCCGTCACATAAATGTAGGTGTAGTCCAAATTGTGCGACGCTGCTGCCACAAACAGCCGACTTCACACTTTTTAGTGTGTACTGTGTATGACTGATGGGCAGTTTGAGGTGTCAGCTATTCTTATTGAAATTCTAATTGTAGTCTTGATTCTGGTAGAACTTTTCGAACCCTTCATAAGTTAATGTTCTGAAAAATGCAGATAAAACAAAAATAAGGTTTTAAAAAACCTTGGTAACAATAAAGCAATAATTAAATTCTAATCCATTGATTATGTCAGTGTAAGTAGTCTTAAAATTCTATAAAGTAATCTTATAAAACTAAACATTGATGAGCGAACACCATAGGAGTTAAATGTTTATCCATTTATAGCTGCAAAATTGCGATCAGACATCAAAATCACTTGAAATCAATCAATGTGCCACATTCGAAGAGAGAACGTAAAGCAGGCGCCAGGCGGTAATGGCCATCAAATACTTAAAGCGGTTGCTAACTAATCTGAAAGGTAGTCGATAAAGTTTGGCCAATGGACCAAATGAAATGTGAGCCAAATATAATCAACTCTTTGCCTGCGCACGAGCCATGAATGTCGATGCCGATGATGTTCAAATCCTGTCCATGTGCACTCATCAGTTATTAACACAATGTGTCTGAAGTTTGTCAATGGGCCATATTGAAATTGGATCCAGCTAACCAAGCTGCTAAACCGCAGTCTTAAGTCATCCTTACAGAGATGACTGAATGGCTGCAAGAATTTTGTAAAATCGGACTAAGACGGAGTTTAAGTTGAGGATTATGCTAATGCAAATGCTAAAGGCTTGAAAGTATTCAAATTTTCCAGACAACAGCCAGGCGACACTTTAATTAAAGAGTTGGCTGAGAAGGCTGATAGTAACATAGTTTAAGCTGGGATTAGGCCACAACTGACTTTGACAGGACGACAACACGTTTTATTAGCAAATTTTGATAGTTCTTTTGATCGCTCTTTAATTTATACGATAAATATGCGAGACGAGAACAAATTTTCTGGTTCTTATTTACATTGATGCTGATGGTAAGAGATGATGCTGTCGTAATAACAAATAATTTCAATCTTTCCGCTTTGCAACTATTCTGATCTAGGGCATATTGCAACTTAGCCGAAATTGATAGTCAATAGCAATACGGATCTTGCTGGTTAGCTTTGGCTGCTTGCGGCATATCTTTGAACGCCTAAATTTATTGGCAACAAGACGCGCCGGCGCCAGGGTTAAGAGTCAGAAATGGACGCCGTTTGAGTTGTGAATGTTGGCCAGGTTCTTATTCAATTTGGATCGCAAAGTATTCTGATATTAATTTCGGCAATTCAATAGCAACGTGCAGCGCAAAGATGCTGCTCATAAATCATTCAAAATGCATTTTCAAATTTTTAATTTAAACCAGTTGTAAAAGTGCAATGAACTTGAACAAAAAAGGTGAACTTATTGCCCAACTACACATAAAGACAAAAGCCTTTGGCGAACTTATTTATTTATCAATATGTGGTGCGTACCCACAGCCACCGCCGCCCTCACCCTTCACCCTCGACGGCCATTCAGTTCATTGTCGACGTCATTGGGAGCAAAACTGAATTCTGATTTATAAGCATGCATCGCGCCCGCTCTGCCGCTCCCCTTGCACAACGGGGCTGCGCTTTAATCACGTGCGTGCAATGCGCACATGATGCGACTGCTCCCCAATCCAAAAACTCCATGCATGCCCCATGCCTCAAGCTCGAACTCAGCCCAATGCCGATGCTCATGTCGATGATGCCGGTCTGGTGTTGAAAATGCTGCCAGGGCAAACACCCAGCCAGCCAGCCAGCCAAGCTAGCGAGCCCCTTTTACTATGCGGGTTGGTTGAATAGTCACCATTTTAATACCATTACTTGAATAGTTTAATCAAGACATCTGCCAAGATAATGCATAGTCCTCATTGACATTTTAAATGTCTGAATTTTGATTTTAATAACAACATATTTGTATCTAGATATAAATATTTTCCTTATGTGGTTAAGATACAATACCATAATAAGAATAGAAAACAGGTATTAAAGATGATTATATAAGAGTAAATTTCTAACTCTTCTTATCTTTGCAACCGGTTGGGATTTGGGAAAGTATAGTGGACGTGGACAGACAGAAAGAGAGAGCCCAAATAGATGCTGTGACTTACTTTTGGTTGTTGTCTTAAGGAAGCTTTTCATTTTCTGTTGATCTCCCTGACTTGTTCAAGTGTTATAAGAATTAAAAAATTATTGTTTTGAGATAAATTTCAGGTATCTCTTCCATCCCTAAATAGGTTTCCCGCATGGTACGCTGTGATGGCCATTATGCAGCCGCTTTACCCGAATGCTGTTGTATGTGTGCGCGCATGCGTGAAGAGTCCGTTTTAATCGTTGCTTGGCCATCGAATATTTCTTCGCCACGACGTCGTCGGCTTGGCTCGTAAATCCGCCGTATAAGAGGCACATTGCGCGCTCCATTGGTCAGGCAGACGGCCATTGTTGTGGGTCTTCTGACTTGGAGTCTAGGCTCGGTTGGACAAGTACTGCGACTGCGACGGCGACTGAGGCTAGGCCATCGTCTGCCTACCAAAGGCTGATTTACTATGATCCGCTTGAGTTTTATGTGCAGAAAGATAACATTTTTAAGATATTGACACCTTGTTAGGCGTTTGAGAGAGTCGAGAGGCCGCAAACTGGCAACAACAACAACAACTATAGGGTTAGACATGGCCAACAGCGGGAACGTTGGCTTTTGGCCAAAGGCGAAAAAAGAACCTTGCCGCTGCTGCTGTTGTCGCTGCTCCTCCTTTACGCTGTTGTGTCTTTAGCATTTGCGTGGCTAATTGTTGTTAAAATTAAATGCAGCACCATCGTCAAATGCACATAAACATTGCTAGATAATCAACGACGTGCCACATGCAAAGTGAAACACAACCAACTTAAACACTAAGATAATTTTCATGTTCCCTTTCCTGTTCCCCTCCTTGTTCAATTTCCATGTGGGTGTCATAGCAAAAGCGCAAGGCGGCTTAGCTAAATTTATGGCATAGGAATAATACATATCTTTATGGCTTCATTAGCGAAATGCCGTTCAGCAACCAAAACGCCCCACTCCAAGCTTTGTATGAAACACAACCATCACCACCAGCACCATCACAACCACCATCCGCATAACCCATTCGACACGCTGTCTGTAAGCAGCGCAAAAAGGATCGACATCGATGCAGTCGTCAAAAGACATCGTCGTCGCTTTCCCCCCTCTCTCTCTCTCTCTCTCTCTGTCTCTGTCACTACAGCATCATATCACATCATTCAGCAGGCCCCAAGCACTTGAGACATTGTATGCACACTTCAAAGAGGTTCTTTTTAATGCCCTTGTGCTATATGCAAAGTGGAGTGTTGACTTGCTAGAATGCTTATATACCAAAAACATTTACATCATAAAAATATCTAAAGGATAAACAAAAATATTTATGTTTAGTAAAAATCAACTAAACAATTATAAATTTATTGTTTAGTTAAGTTTTGTTTAATGAATATTTTGTCAAAATCCAAAAACAACAATGACAAAGCTTCAAAGGCTTGTTGAA